CCCCCCAGCATCTTCATCGTCATCGTCAACATCCTGAAGCTCTCTCCCGCCACACACACACTCGCCATCGACAGGAAGTGGACGCATTAGCGGCGCGTAGCGGACGAGAGCCGCTGGCATTAGCGTCCATTACAAGAGCTTTTAGACCGTGTGGAGATGCAAGCGAGCAGATCTTCATGTTGGAGCACAAGGCAGCGTTCCGAGCAGCGCCACCACTACCACCGGCTTTCGTCACAACGAGGCCGCTCGGCTCAGAATTTGACAGAAAGCATGTTAACCCTTTCAGGGACGGCGGTTACGACAGTGGACAGCTGAACATGTTATTGGGTTACAGGGTGCATGAAAGGGTTCAACATGACAGGTTGGTGCGGTCTCACGATGATGTCACAGGTTGGTTAGGTTACAGATTGACAATGTCAAGGGCTGCTAACGTCACAGGTTGGTTTGTGACACCACTGCTGATGTCAAAGGTTGATCATGTCACAGGTGCGTTGGGGTTTGGTGAAGTCACGGGGTGGTCACAAGTTGGTGTTGATGTTTATTATGGACTGGGTTGCTGATATCATGGATTCATGTCATAGCTTGGTGACAGTTATAGGTTGGTTGGGGTCAAAGGTTGATCATGTCAAGTTGGTGAGTGATGTCACAGGCTCCTCTTGTTTTATGTTGAGGGGGAAGAAATTTCATCTGTGCTGTTTGTTATACATCACATTTGACAATAAAGTTGTATTCAATTCAATTCAATTTATTGTCGACCAGGGTAGTGATGTCATGGGTTGATGATGTCACAGGTCGACATCACAGGTCTATTTAGGATTGGGTTAAGATGTCACAGCAGGGTGGCGTCGCATGTTGAGGCTAACCGCCGAAAATTTCCCATGATGATATCACTTGTTGGTGATGTCACAGGTTGTTCATGTCACGGGTTGGTTGGGGTCACAGGTTAATAATGTCCCAAGTTGGTGATTGGTGGTTACATCTCAGGTTGATGAGGTCACAACTGGGGATGTCACAGGTTATTGATTGACAGGCTGATGATTAAATACAGTTCAGCTTCCTTTGAAAGGTGCTATAGAAAGTTGGTTGTCTGACTGTCACAGGTTTAGATATGTCCCAGCTTGTTGCAGATGTATAATCAGTTCTTTTTTTCTATTATAATACATATGTATACAGTAAACATTTTTTTCTTGGCTAGTGTAAGATCAAATGTAAGCCGAAATTCATGAGCGTTAGAGGAGCTCAGCGTGCCTCGTGACTGGCTCGCGCATCAGGCTAACGTATATTCCCTCTGCTGGCAGCTGCTTACTTTGCAAAAAAAAATATATATATATCACTTACTGACTAATAATGGCTCACACACACACGCAATCATTAAAGCCGGCAGTGTTCGAGCGTGTTCAAAGGCTTTCCAGCCTGAACAACGCACAAGCTGGCAGCGGCGTTGCGTAACCATGAAAGCGGACGTCCACGCTTTTGGAAGTGGGACACTCGCTGAGAGATGGGGCTGACGAAACTGCCGTGCTCAGGAAGAGTGCGGGAAGTGCATGTCTTTGCGCGCGTGTGTGTGTGTGTGTGTGTGTGTGTGTGTGTGTGTGTGTGTGTGTGTGTGTGTGTGTGTGTGAGATGCTCATTAGCCGGCAGATAAAAGCGCCACTGATATGAGAGGTGATTCCTCCCCGTGGAAGCGCACGCGCACCTCCCTCTCCTCTCAGCTTCTGTGTTTTGCTATTTGTGTGGCAGAGTGATCGCTCGCTGTGATGTGGAGGAGCTTTGCGGGGAGCTCTTCCGATCCCTCGCTCGCCGACAACCAACCCCCCCGCACCTTCCTCCACTCCCAACCCCCCCTCGGAGGCAGAGCGAGAGTGAGGTGGATTTATTTGCAGGTCTGTTGTTTATTTCAGCTTATCTGTGCTGGACGTTTGGCACACACGCAGACACGGGGAGTCAGTCGCTTAAGCATCTTTCACGCAGAGCTCACGCAAAATTAGCCAA